CACACACACAAAAGGTGGTACTGAATGGTAAGTCCATAGGTGGATAGTGATTCTATCCTAATAATAGGCATGTCTTGATAAGCAGACGCCAGTCTCTTTTAGGGACAATTTGTTCTTATTACTAATATAATCTAGAAGTTATGATTTAAACTAATAGCTATTGCTTTAGGGACTTGTACAAGACTTACTCAAATGGTATTCCCCTAGGAGACATTAAGAACGTGTTTTTGACAATTGTGAAATGTGTACAGTAATCTGGATCACACCCTTACCCTGTCTGTCCTGTCTGACACACAAGTATTCTGCAACAGTAATTACTGGAAACAATGCATTAGATCCGACTGGGTGTGCCCGCTGGTGACTGACATGTTTTGTTAAATGTCCCATTAGCCTTTGTTTGGTGTCTAGAAGTTTGATGACGAGGATTACATAATGAATGAACAGTTTCTTGTTACAATTGTTATGGCACGATAGTAAGTTGCCACAACCATCAAACAAACCAACTCAGCTAATCAATCTTTGAAAATACATAAAATTCCAAGCTGGGGCTAACACATATTTTTTTTTTGGGGGGGGGGGGGGAGTGGGTGGTTGGTTGTACAGAAACCTACCATTAATTTAGCTAGAATATAAAAAAAATGATATTTTTCAAGTTGTGTGCAATTGAAGTTGTACCTTGGTCTAAAAACTGTTTTTGAAAATTAAACAAATTTTATTATATTTGTTTACTGTCCTGTTACATATTGATCAATAAAATTTGTGAAAAAGAAATTTAATGGTGTGACTTAAAATGGCTTTGTGCTCCCCCTAAAAAACAGTAAGGAGAGTGGGTGGTTGGTTGTACAGAAACCTACCATTAATTTAGCTAGAATATAAAAAAAAAAATATTTTTCAAATTGTGTGTAATTGAAAATGTACATTTGTGTTAAAAACTGTTTTTGAAAATTAAACAAATTTTATTATATTTGTTTTCTGTCCTGTTACATATTGACCAATAAGATTTGTGAAAAAGATATTTAATGGTGTGACTTAACTGGCTTTGTGCTCCCCCTAAAACAGTAAGGAAACAAGTTGTCTGTTTCTGGACCTTGTCTACAGGGTAAACAACTACCCACCCTGTGCATCTATAAGACAATGGTGGTGGTATTTCGGCCAACATCAATAGTTGTTTGTGCTTTCTTAACTGTTTAGGTTGTCATGGGATTCAGTGGGTAATTAACAATTATCACCTGTATTGAAGCTTCAGGTGTGGAGGGTTGTGTTTACCTGGCAGGTGGTGGTAGTTGTTGTGGCAACTCACCTGTATGGGGATGTTTGTTTACCTTGGAGAAAACGGTAGACGGTATTTTGAAGTGAATGGACTGAGGTTGTACTTACTCAATAGAGTTACCCTTGAATCATGTACGGCTTAGTGGCAAAATGATCTTAGGTGACAGAATTTGCTAGAACTTGAGCTCAAAGCCTGTGGTTGCTCACTCACTAACTCACTCCCCTTGGTGACATTGAGAACAATGTTGTTTGAATGAGTGAGTGAGTGAGTGAGTGAGTGAGTGAGAGTTGCTTGAGTGAGTGAGTGAGAGAGGCTTGGGTGATATTTTCGAACTCTTGACCACATTCCTCCTTTGTAAGCTCAATTAGTTGTTGGTTTGTGTTACAGTGCGGTCTGCAATGTGAGTGAGTGAGTGAGTGAGTGAGTGAGTGAGTGAGTGAGTGAGTGAGTGAGTGAGCGAGTGAAAGAGTGAGTGAGTGAGAGTTGCTTGAATGAATGAGTGAGAGTTGCTTGAGTGAGTGAGTGAGAGTGGCTTGGGTGATATTTTCCAACTCTTGAACACATTCCTCCTTTGTAAGCTCAGTTAGTTGTTGGTTTGTGTTACAGTGAGTGAGTGAGTGAGTGAGTGAGTGAGTGAGTGAGTGAGTGAGTGAGTGAGTGAGTGAGTGAGTGAGTGAGTGAGTGAGTGAGTGAGTGAATAACGTTACTACTGCTGCCATCAACAAAGATTGCAAGAGCAGCCATCAAAGCCAACAACTACTATGGAAATATTCTGTCCCAGAATTTAAATTTGAAAAGAAGTAGGTTTTCAAAGCAGGAGGAAAAGAAAAAGGAAGAGTTCTCACTGTGAAATGACAAATGGAATGCAGAGGATAAAAAAGATATACAAGAAACCCCTGACTGCGACATCGGAGTGGAATACATGTTAATGAACCAATATATGTGTCCGCAACATCTCCTTGCACCTCATACATTTCCTCCGATAAAACATGCAGATTTCAAATTCTTTCTTCAAAAAATTGTAATTTCATCCGAAACATTCCCATCCATCAAACCTGGGTGGTGTTTGAGGTACATCAGCCTCGCATTTCACCTCCACAAGCAAGTTTCGTCTTTCTATCGAAGCTATCTTTTATGAAACAAACACCAAACTCGACAGGTGCAGAGTCCATTACAAGAGCAGCCCTCACACACAACACAGGGACGAAAATAATCCAGCAATTCCTATCAAGATGAGACTAAAGCTTAGTCTCTGAATAGATATGATTTTGATAGAAATAATCAACAACATTTAAATTGAAAGGAAGATGAGAGTTTCGGAACCTCAAGAAAATCTAGACTTGCTTCATTTAGGGCTACAGCATTAAAGTAAGGGCTGGGCAGAAGAGGTGAGGTGAAATTGGGTTTAACGTCGCGTCCAAGATTATTGCACTTATATAGCGACGTGCATGCACGTGTATGTGTGTGTGTGGCTGCTTGTACTAGTCCGGACTGATGCCGATTTATAGTGCTAGCTCACTGAGATACCATGCCGCAGTTTAACATGAATACCCCACTCAGACACAGTATACTGACTCCGAGCCGACCAGTCCTTGTTTTAGCCCCTTAATGCCGAGCGCCAGACAGGGTAACAACAAGTACAATCTTTTAACGTCTTTTTGTATGACGTGGCCCGGGATCGAACCCTGGACCTTCCGCTCTCCGGGCGGACGCTCTACCACAAGACCACGGAGGCGGTGCTGGGCAGAAGAGAAAATAATAATATTTGGAGACTGTGAGACAGAATACAGTCTAGTCTATCCCTTGTACTTACATCCTAATGTCCCGCTCAGGAAAAAAAGTAAAGAAATGTGGCCATGTTTTAGATAAAGACTGCTTCGGTCACCCAACAAAGCCTATCTTATATATTGATACAGTAAACTACATTTATGACGAACATGCTTATAACAAACTGACGGACATAACATACTGATTCTGGTCATGGGCATTTTCTGTATATATCCTGTATATATGCTTATAATGAACTACAGTTATAACGACCTAAAATTAGTGGTCCCTTTGAATTAAGGATACCCGTAGCTAACTGTATTATATTTTCATAGAAATTACATGATTAAGTAATGAGGTGTTATTGTCGTTCTGTTCTTGTTTTCTTTCCAAGTGACCATGTCATTCCAGGAGAAGTCCTGAGGTGATTGGGTGGTCAGTGTGTGTGACCTGGGTGATGGTGTGTCCTTGTACCATGATGGCATTAATCGGCGCTCATGCTATCAACCATTGCTTAGTTGGTCCATGACTCACTCATGTATGTTGCATGTTTCACGATGGAGGGCAAACTTGTTCTAAACAACACCATACTTCCCTGATCGCTCGCTCTCTCACCCACTCATCCATCCATCCATCCATCCATCCACCCATCCATCCATCTACCCATCATTCATCCATCCATTTACTCACTTACTCATGCACCCCCCATCCATCCTCCCATCCACCCACTCACTCACTCACTCACCCATCCATCCATTCACTCACTCATGCACGCATTCACCCACTCATCACTCGCTCATCCAACCACCCACTCACTCACCAATCCACATACCCACCCACCCATCCACTCACTCACTCACTTACCAATCCACATACCCACCCACCCATCCACTCACTCACTCACTTACCAATCCACATACCCACCCATCCACTCACTCACTCACCAATCCACATACCCATCGCCCAGTCACTCAATCACCCACTAATGTGGTCAAACTCGGTGATTTGTTGATTGCATGTCATTGTACCCCGATGACATTGATCGTTGCACACATTATCAATCACTGGATTGTCTAGACCAGACTCCATTATTCACAGGCTGCCATCACATAGCTGAAATAGCACCAACACCACACCGGCCTGCCCGTCAGAGGCAAGTGAAGTGTGGCACTGTTACATAAAATGGCCTGTAGTGACTTTTCAACTAGATACACTCAGCTCATTGTATTTACCCCTGAAAAATAACACTGCAGTTGGAATGACAATTTACCAGAGGGACACCTGAATACTTTTTTTCTATCAAACACGTGTGTTGCTTTAGTCAAGCATGTTGACAGGCCAGTCTGTCACTGCAACCTAACAATCACTTGTTAGCTGTTCCCCCAACATACATACGTAGACACTGCTTCCAGTCATTGGCCATGGGTCATTAAAAATATTGCATCAAAAATCATTTGGCATTTCAATTCATATAAATTATTCATGCCAATACATTATCATATCACTACAAACAACTTCTTTTTTTATATATTTTGTGAATTGTTTCTTTTTCTTGTCAAACTCAATTCCACACAAGCCCAATCCTGCTGATATTAAAAGTGGTTTTCAATGACCTAATTTGCATTTTCTGAACAAAGTCGCAAGTGTGCTCAAGACACAATAACTTTGCTACAAACGATACAGCCAAGACCTACGTTTGTTGGACAGCAGCCAAGGCGAACGCCAGTCAATGTATTTTGTGCATTGACACTGTTAAAACCTAAGCGTGTGTTCAGACCCATATGTGGGATATCACCTCTATTCGAGTTTGGTTGGCACACGCCAACTTTGGGTGGCTAGCGTTTTTATTGTCGACTACGATACTGGCACGGTTCTGCTCCCAAAGCACACAGTCCCCAACCATGAAACTCCGCCCCTTCCACAACGCTATCACCCTATTGGCTGACCTGACCGAAAGCTTAGGGCCTGTAAGTTTGCATAACGAAAGGTCTCATTCACGAAGCTGTGGGTTGTGTGTGTGCAGACACTGTACAAACCCCGGTTGCATCCCAGTGCACCACCATGTGCACTAGCAGCCAGCAGACGTGAACTACCAGTCAGCAGACGTGAACTTGCAGACCTGATCCTCCTCTCAAAGCTGCCGGAAAACTTGGTCAACATATCTGGCACACAGTGTCCCACGGCCACCCCTATCATCCACAAGCAGACTGCAGCTCTGACCTCTCATCTACCTGGTTTGCAGCCCTCTCGAGAGGCTAATCTTGGTGATACGCCGACTATCACACTGTCCCGACATTGATTGAAGAAGCAGGACCTTATCTGTGCCCTGAGGCTGTTGGACAAAGACTGGCTGTGGCTGGGAAGGGGTGTGACAAGCCGGGAGTGATTGGCGAGTGGCCTCATCAACAGTTCAGCTTCAGTGGTCGTGTGGTGTCACCCACGTGCCGCTCCACTCTCAGTCATATGGACTAGCTGTCGACTCCGACACACACTGGTCAAACTCACGGTAACTCAATGTACATCTAGACCACACTATCATCATGTTGGAATACATTCTACTTCATCTCCTCATCCTTGGTGTGCTTCAAGCAAGCACTGAACCGGTAAGGAATTCAAATTTCATTTCAACTTGTGCAACCTTCATTCATCGTTCTCTTTGAGCGCATCTGCAGAATTTTAGGTTTTAAAGCTGCAAAGCTTTTAAAACTTTACAAAGAAAACTTTAGAAACTATTACAGACTCTACAAAATTTACTATCAGCCTTTGTCGGACACCACTCCAATATGTCTCAGGTAAAATGCAAAATTTTAAAATTACAGTGAAGTTTTTTAATGTAGCAACTACCTTAAGAAGACTGCATCATATCATTCATATGAAAATTATGACTTTCATTTTTGCATTAAATTCTTAAGTTACTTACATAATGTAAACCAATACTTCTAAAAGTTAAAAAAATATTCAAACTTTATCCAGGGTTTAAAATGAACAGCTGTATGTAGATATGAAATCCAATCAGTCTAGAAAGTTTAATTACATCAAACATCTACTTCATCACCATGAGAGGAAGGGAAACTGTATCTACCTGTATTTACCTGTAACGAGTAAGACAGGTGAGCATTGACACGGTTATCCCTAATGATAATAGCCTGAACAATAAGTAGCTACCATCTCCAGCTCTAAGTCAGGGCCTCAAGGCAGTATAACGTTGCATGGACCATCTCCAGACTTTGAAACAAGAGAGCAGGGTCACACACAGCCATGTCTTATTGTCATCGGGTGTCACTGGTTCTAATCCAATTAAACATTGTTCAAAGATCAAACATGCTGATTAGAGTTTAAAAAGATACTAAATTCTTAGCCTCAAGTGATGAAGATGAATCATTTGTTTGAGCACACCAACTAAATGCCTTGGGACCTGACTATTCAAGAATTAAAAGAAGAGAAAACAGATCCATGACCTGAGGTGCTTCAATGACAAATATATTCAATGTCACTTTCTTAAAAGTTATTCAATATTCGAACAAAGAACTGCAATTCAGAGCTTGACAAAGTAGACAAATCCAGCTTCATTTTGCAGAAAAACATTTTAAACATAACTAATGTTCACCACACTACTTAATAATATCAGATCAGGTTTATAAATCATTTAGAGAAAAGGTAATCACATGATGGAATATTTCAAATACAGACATTCGGTGTCATGGCAATAGTAGCATCATCACTGGCACTGGATTCTCAGACAAAGAAAATCAATACTTTAACCTGGGGAATAACTCCATTGGCAAAATGTGCTCTTGTTCACACCAAACTAAACCAAACACGTCCAAATTCACAATGACTTTTATTCATCATTGACTCACTAATTACATGAATAAAACATCCGAGGTGATTGAGATGAGTAATTGTTGCTCCGCCGAATTATTTATGCTAATTTATCCAAAGCAGACATTTCAAAGCCAATCAACAATACAATGCACTGTTTAAAACTTTCCATTATATTTTTGGCGAAATTGATATCCTTGACTGCAAAAATAAATTGTGTTTTTGAAATAGGCTCAATTTGGATACAAATACACTCTTTGGGAAAGAAATTATGGCACCCCATTTTGACCAATATAAGCGTCAGTTTGAAATCGCATCAATATACTTCAGTAAAAACCAATATATTTTCAGGAACTTCAAACAAAGCTATAATTACCAATTCAAAAACACATTAATATATTTCACCAGACTCTTACCATTCATCCAAACACGTCGCTGGAACTGTAAAACGCATCAATACCTATCACCATTAACTTGAATGCCAGACCAACAAAAGCCTCTCACAAAAAACCCCGTAATTCATCTAATCACATAAACCCGAAGATTTTAACAATATTTGTACCCAGAGAGTGGGGAATGGTTTTTATACCACCTCTATATCCTGCTGTCTTAGAGGCAGGATGACACCGGGCCGAGTCACTGTCTACGTCGGAAAGTGTCTGTGCGTGAAACTCAATAAGCTTTTATTATCGCAGGGCTACAACAAAAGGCAGTCATAAGTTTAGAACAAGATCCTGTTGAGCATTATCTATCTCTCCAACAATCACAGCCTCTTCTTAGCGAAAATAGGTGGGAAGCTGGCATATACGCATGTGTAACCGATATGAGCTGATAGTTCAACGTGCTTGTTTATCACATAGGCCGGTACGGCAGTTATTCACTGTGACAATACCAAACGTGTCATGTCATCGTCTGAACGTAACGATGGGTACACGAAACCTCGGGACACTACAAGAATGGCTATATAGTATTGGCGAAGCTTTCATAAAGAGATTTTCGATCTCACCAATAAGCGACTGGGCGTTACTTCACCCAGTATGCCTAACTGCCAACGTGGTGCATCAGTTTGAATTCAGTAGAGTGCTACTGGTTTTGTGAATGCTACTCAAAATTGCAAGCATATTTCTTCCTTTCTTATCTCTCCTTTATATTCATGTAGGGCAGATAGTGAAGTGATGTGTGTGTTGATCAAATATATATGGGGTGGCAGTATGACAGGACATGACCCGGAGTTTACGTAATATACAGCATGGTTTGCGTCTCGCGATCATGTTTTACGTTTGGCTCGTGCAAGAAGGTAGTCAAGCGTGGCTTAAGTCGCCCATACCATACTGCTTTCACTCTGTGCATTCATTGTGCAATGGCCACAATGGAATCCCGAAGGGTAACAGTTTATGTGCGAGATCGTGGTTTTGTTCGCTACCGTGCCAGCACACAGCTAGTGGTCACAGACAGAAAGTCGGTCCTATAAATCACAAGCGCAAAGCACTATCTGAACTTGGGTTTGTTCCAGTTTGTATACCTAGTCCAAATTGGGAGGCTGGTTGAATGAAAGACCCCGAACCGTCACAATGGAGAGTCTCACTCACGCTTAACTGCTGGTAGCAATGCATTCACATTTGTCATAGTAGTTTATAGAAACATCCAGGTCAACTCATCTGTCTTTTGAAACTGTACAAACATATTTAATATTCGATCATGTGTTCCATCTTGTTTCAAATCTGGTGACATTTGACTCTGCAGTGTCATCTGATTTCATAGAGTTGTGTGTATACACATATTGTAATGTTGGCAGTATTCAACACATTTAATTCTCCAACTATGTCCCTTCCATCCAATACATATCTGTGAGAGATAGAGTACATAAATATCACAGAGAGAGTTGGTTGGTTGGTTGGTTAGTTGTTTAACGCCGCACTCAGCAATGTTCCAGCTATATGACGGCGGTCTGTAAATAATCGAGGCTGGACCAGACTATCCAGTGGTTGATATCATGAGCATCGATCCACGCAATTGGGATCGATGACATGCATCAACCAAGTCAGGGAGCCTGACCACCCGATCCTGTAAGTCGCCTTTTAGGACAAGCATAGTCACCTTTTACGGCAAGCATGGGTTCTACCCCGGAATCTAAGAGAGAGAGAGAGAGAGAGAGAGAGACAGAGAGAGAGAGACAGACAGACAGACAGACAGACAATCAGACAGACAGACAGACAGGGTGGGAGGGAGGGAGGGAGGGAGAGGGTCCAGGAGTATGTATGTAAACATGAAACAATTATTTTCTGTGACCACTTAAGAAATAGCCAGATGAACAGGTAAAACTGTCAGACAATTGGTCTAGCATATTGTATTCCATCATAAGCTGACTCAAATTACCCCAACGTGCTCACTGACAGCTACAACTGTGAAAGCCCAAACCGAAATTTACCCAAAATAAATCAAACTAGTGTCATTCTTACAAAGACTCTACAAGCGTGCTATATTCCATAAATCGCCACCGAGACCACATACAGAGTGGTCCACCAAAGCTGTGAATTACCAGCTAACCTTTTCAATGGTATATAATAACATCTAAGTAGTAAATTGTTGCCGTGGCTACAGGTCATGGAGGTGTAAATTGCTGTTCCCCTTCTCAGAGCAGCTTGTGTACATTTTCCCCAACACATTAGGATATTGTTTGCTAATTGCTGAACATACTTTACAACCAGATACAAGACCAGCCCCACCATGATGTTTTCAAAAATCTAATTAACCTGGACAGGGGAAATGACTACACACCTAATTCTCCGCACCTAGCAATACAGAAAGGCGATCACCTGTTTCTATACTGAATGTAAGTCAACGTAACATGTACGCCTACCTGAGATTAATTGAGATGACAAAGGAGAAACAATTACGTTTCAGTGACACGCTGTGATTAGTAATCAATGTTATTTACATGGGAACAAAGACTCGTTAGTATCAGGTGTGTTTTCAATCTCATGCTTTGATAGTGCAATGATTCACTAAACTTATGCAAGAACACGGTTGAGTTTCTATAACTGTGACCCTATTAGCATAATCACACAATAACGACATATTTGTTCCACAAATAGATTTTTAAACTTAATCATTTCATCTGTTTAACCTGGTGATAAGAAAAGAAAATTCAATTTTAATAAATCAGAGAACCTGGCTTAAAATCATGTGGTTTTTCTTCACCACTTGTGGAAACAGCTGTTAGCTGATAAGACTGTATTGAACTTTAAAGGGCCAGGTGTTGCTTGTTATTAGGACAATACTTAAACTGTCATTATCATACTAATAAATAAATAGATTATCATACATTACATAGACCCTATCACAAACCACACAAAAGATGGCGCACCATCCTGGTCATTACTGATAGTAATATAATCCTGAAAAATGGAACTTTAATACTTTAAGAGTCAATTTATAAGTTAAGAATAAACCTCTTTAGACAAGACAACTAAAGAGGGAGTCCACACCATTGTCAGGAGACAGGTACAGAGATAGGATGACTTCAAAGTCAGAAATGCCATAAATGTTATATAATTGGTCCAATGATAAAACCCCTCCTTCTCCAAAGGGGCTAACTACGGTAATAAGTTCCACATCAAATTCTCACAAGGGAAGGTTTACGATGCAATATCCGACTGTGGGTGTTGTATCCCCTGAATGTAACACTTGTGAGATCCAATTGCGGAAGTCCAGCACTTGGCCTACACAATACAGGGCACCTCTGAAAGGGGACAATAGCACCGGTGATGACCAAGAACCA